CACATTAGAGATTCAGTGCAGTCCTTATCAAAATTCCAGCAGACTTTTATGCAGAAATTAAGCTGCTCCTGAAATTTATATGAAAATAGAGACCTATAGTAGCCAAAACAATTTTTAAAAAGAATAAAGTTGAAGGATTTACACTACCTGATTTTAAAATTTACTATAATACTGCAGTTAGCAAGACAGTATGTACTGATACTAGGATATATCAATGGAACAGAGTTGAGACTTCAGGAATAAACCCTTACATTTATGGTCAGTTGATTTTCAGCAGTGCCAAAGTCCCGATTCCAAGGGAAAAGGATAGTCTTCACAACAGATGTTGCTGAGAGAATTGGGTATTTTAGTAGGTCAAATAATGGCCACCCAAAGAATTAAGTCCTAATCCCTGGAACTTGTAAATGTCATCTTATCTGGAAAAAGGGGTCTGTGCACCTGTGAAGAAGTTACAGATTTTGAGATGAGATTGCTGTGAATTACAATGGTGGGCCCAAAACGCCACCACACATGTCCTTCTAAGATAGAGGCAAAAAGAGCCTTAGACGGAGGAGATCACCCCAGAGGAGAAGGCCATATGAAGACAGGCTGCAGTGAGTAGCCACAAGGAGAGGAACACCAACAACCACCAGAAGCCAGAAGGGGCCAGGAACAAATTCCCCCCAGAGCCATCAGACCGAGTGTTGCCTTTATGATGCCTTGATTTAAATTAGACCCTTATGGGGTGCCTGGGTGGCTCAGTCGGTTGAGCATCTGCCTTCGGCTCAGGTCATGATCCCAGGGTCCTGGGATCAAGTTCCGCATCGGGCTCCCTGCTCTGCAGGAGGCCTTCTTCTCCCTCTCCCTCTACCACCGCCCCCCCCCCCCCCGGCTCATGTTCACACTCTCTCTCACTGCTCTTTCTCTCTCTCTCTCAAATAAATACATAAAATCTTTAAGAATAAATAAAGTAGATCTTTATCTCACACTATATACAAAATCAACACATAATGGACCCAAAGCCTAAATATCAGGTTACACTATAAAACTTCTAGGAGAAAGCATAGGAGAAAATCTTTTAAATCATTGGTTAGGCAAAGATTTCTTATGTAGAACACCAAAAGCATGGGCCAAAGAAAAACACTGATAAGCTTCATTAAAATTTTTTAAATTTGCAGGGGTTCCTGGGTGGCTCAGTTGGTTAAGTGTCCAACTCTTGATCTCAGGGTTGTGAGCTTGAGCCCCGCACTAGCATGAAGCCTACTGAAAAAACAAACAAAAACAAACGTAATTGGGGTGCCTGGGTGGCTCAGTTGGTTAAGCATCTGGCTCTTGATTTCATCTCAGGTTGTGATCTAAGGGTTGTGAGATCGAACCCCGTGCTGGGCCTGGAGCCTACTTAAAATTCTCTTTATCTCTCCCTCTCCCTCTGCACCCCACCCAGGTCTCTCTCTATATAAAAAAAAAAAAAGTTTTAAAATGTTTTAAATTTGCTCTCAAAAGGACAGAATGAAGGAAATGAAGACAAGCCACAGACTGTGAGAAACTGTTTGCAAAACATATAATCAAGGATGTGTATCCATGTATATGAAGAAATAAGAAATCAAAAATCCTCATTTTAAAATGGTGGAAAACATTTCACCAAGAGCCAGTTAGTGTCTAAAAAGCTCATGAAAACCTATTCGACATCATTAATCATTAGAAAAATGCAAATTGAAACTACCAAGATACCACCTCACACCCACTAGAATGAGTATAATAAAAAAGATCATACCAGCCATTGGCAAGATAAAGAAAAAATGAAAACCGCATACACTGCTGGTGAAAAGGTAAAATGGTGCAACTACTTTGGAAAAACAGTTTGGCAGTATTTTAAGAAGTTAGCATAACTTTCCCAAATGAACCAGCAGTGTCTCTCACAAGAGAAATGAAAACACAAGCTCAAGCAAACACTTGTACATGAACGTTCACAGCAGTGTTATTCATAATAGACCCAAACGAATCCACCCAAATGCCAATTGATGAACCAACAAACAAAAAGTGGCATATCCATACAGTGGAATACAATTCAGCAATTAAAAATTAGAAATAAACTTCTAACACGTGTTACAATATAGATGAATCCCCAAAACAAAGGCATTCTGCTAAGTGAAGAAAACACCAAATCATAGCTTCTTATGCAAAGTCACATTTTCATTGTGCTACTTCTGTTTGTTGATTATATATAATCCTGAGAAGAAGAAGATGTTGCCATCATTTTGGGAATATTTCTCAATTTTCATTCTTATGCAACGTTTTCAGTCTGGGTGACTCTTGAGTGAGATATTTAACTTTCTGAAAGATGTGGATAAGGCTATTTGCCGTTAGTTCATTTTCTTTTAAAATTTAAAGATGTCGGGACACCTAGGTGGCTCAGTCGGTTAAGCATCCAACTCTTGATCTCAGCTCAGGCCTGATCTCAGGGTCTTGAGTTCGAGCTCTGCATTGGGCTCCATGCTGGCCGTGGAGCCTACTTAAAAAAAAAAAAAAAAAAAAAAAAAATTAAATTTAAAAATGTCAGCAAAGTAAAATATGCTTAAAAACATGGTTAAAAAAATCAAATTGTATCGAAGGATTTCCACCCCAACAGTTCCCACACTCAGCTGCGCTATCAGGAGGCAACCCCTTAAAACATTTCCCCTTTGTTCCTTCTGGAGAATAAAACATTTGTGTAAATAATTTTATGCCCCCATTTCCTCATTTATCAACCTGAAGTCATAATTAGGATCTCCTATTTTGAAAATGTTTTATACATATCCTTTCCCCATTTTTCTATTTGAATTACCCCCTTCCCTGGTGTATTTTTCTATTAGCTCCCGGTTTACGCTAGGCAATGACTCTGTGTAGTTTCTTTTTTTTTTTTTTTTTAGGTTTTTATTTATTTGAGAGAGAGAATGAGAGAGAGAGAGCACATGAGAGGGGGGAGGGTCAGAGGGAGAAGCAGACTCCCCGCTGAGCAGGGAGCCTGATGCGGGACTCGATCCTGAGACTCCAGGAGCATGATCTGAGCCAAAGGCAGTCGCTTAACCAACTGAGCCACCCAGGCACCCAACCCTGTATAGTTTCATGAAGCTGTGTTGTTAAAGACCTGCCATCTGTGTCTTAACTCTCTCATTGAGCAGAAGCCTGAATTGTGATGTAATGAGAGCCATTGATTTTTTTTCCTTAAAGTTTATGCTTTTGTTTGAGGACTTTTTAGCATTCTTTGCTCTCTATTGATTTCCAGACTCTATCTTTCACATTCAGGACTTTATCTATGCCTCTAGGTCTGGGATTAGGTAGGGGTCCAATTTTATTTTTCTTCTATATTCTGTATTCCCAAGTCATTCTCTAAACAGTCTGTTGTTTCCCCATTAATTTATTTTTATACCTTATCTTATGCTGAGTCTCATACAAACATGTGGGTCACCTTCAAATCATCATTTTCCCTTGGTCTATTCATCTGTTCTTGTGTCAATTTCAGTATGTCTTTATTAAAATATGGCCCTTGGGTGCCTGGGTGGCTCAGTCGGTTAAGTGTCTGCTTTCAGCTCAGGTCATGATCTCAGGGTCCTGGGATCAAGTCCCACTCCGGGCTCCTTGCTCAGCAGGGAGTCTGCTTGTCCCTCTGCACCCCCCCCCCACTCTCTCACTCTCTTTCTCAAATAAATAAAATCTTTAAAAAATAAAAAATAAATTAAAATAAAATACGGCCCTTTAGCATGTCTCAGTATCTGGCAGAACACACCCACCCTTTGTTGTCTCTAAAATTTACTTAGATATTCATAGATTTTTATGTCTTTATATGTATTTTTAAATAATTTTGTTGAGTTCCTTTGAAAAATACCAGCTGGAATTTTGACTGATACTGCATTTCATTCATAGATTAAATTATGAAGAATCAACATCTTATAATATGAAATGTGCCTATCTAAGAACATGGGATGTCTTTGTATTTATTCAGATCTTCAATCTCCTTTATTAGAGTTTTTGTTTCCCCATAAAAGGATTTTGGATTCTTGGATAATTTCTAGATATTTTATACTTTTAGTCATCGTAATTTGTATCTTACTTTTATTATATTTAGTATACTTACTGCTGGCATAGAGAAAGACCATCAGTTTTTTTTCCTTTTTCTCCCCCCCAAGTTTTTATTTAAATTCCAGTTAGTTAACATACACGGTAATACTAGTTTCAGGTGTAGAATTTAGTGGTTCAATACTTAACATACAACACACTGTGCTCATCGCAAGCACCCTCCTTAATAAAAACATGGAACAATTCACTAATTTGAGTGTCATCCATGTAAGGGGGCCATGCTAACCTCTGTATTGTTCTAATTTTAGTATATGTGCTGCCGAAGCAAGCACAAGACCATTAATTTCGTAAATTGATCTGGAAAACTTGCTGAACTTCTGTACGTGTTCTAATACAGTTGACCTTTAAACAACATGGGTTTGAACTGTGCTGGCCCTCTTATATGTAGATTTTTTCCAGTAAATACAGCACACTACTATAAATGTATTTTTTTTTATGATTTTCTTAATAACATTTTCTTTTCTCTAGCTTACTTTATCGTCAAAATACAGTACATAATATACATAACATACAAAATATGTGTTAATCGACTGTGTTATCAGTAAGGCTTCTGGTCAATGGTAGGTTATTAGTAGTTAAGTTTTGGGGGAGTCAAAAGTTACATGGGTGGTGCCTGGGTGGCTCAGTTGGTTAAGCGACTGCCTTTGGCTCAGGTCATGATCCTGGAGTCCCAGGATCGAGTCCCACATCGGGCTACCTGCTCAGCAGGGAGTCTGCTTCTCCCTCTCCCGCTCCCCCCTCTTGTGCTCTTTCTCTCTCTCACTCTCTCAAATAAATAAATAAATAAAATCTTTAAAAAAAAAAAAAAGTTACATGGGGATTTTCTGCAGCATAGGTGTCAGTGTCCCTAACCCTCATGTTCAAGGGTCAACTGCAGTTGGGTGGTTCTTTTGGTTTTTTTCTAGGTAGGTGTTCATTACACTTGTTATTTCCTTTTCTTTTGTTACAGCATTGCCCAGGATCCCCAGAACAATGTTAAATGGCGGCAGCAGCACTGGGCATCCTTACCGGATAATGAATCGTAAAGAAAATCCATCTAAAATCTCGCTGTTATATTTCTCAACTTAAGTTGCTGTGGGATTGTTGCACATGAATGAAGTTTGGATCCTCTGGGAAGCAGACATCAAGACAGAAATAGACATGCAAGTGATTTGGCCTGCTGATATGATGGATTACACTGGTTGATTTTTGAATGTTGAACTAGCCTCGCATCCCTGGGACAAACCCCATGTGGTCATGACGTACATTTGTTCTAATACATCACTGGATTCATTTTGCTACTGTTTTGTTGAGGATTTATGCATCTAAATTCATGAGAGATGTTGATGTATGGCTTTATTTGTATGTCCTCTTTGTTATACGTTGGTGTCAAGGTAATAGTGACCTCCTAAAATGAGTTGGGAAGTGTTCCCTCCTCTTCTCTTCACTGGCAGACATTTTGTGAAATTGGTGTTAATTCTTTAAATGCTGGAGAAATTCTGTGTTTGAAAACATCTGGAACCTGGAAGTTCCTTTTTTCTGGAACTTTTAAATTACAGATCCTATTTTTTAGAGGTTTTAGGACTATTCATGTATCTGTTTTATCTTGCTGGGGTTTGGTAGTTTGTGGTTTTCAAGGAATTAGCCCATTTCTTCTAAGTTGTCGAATTTCTGACATGTGTGACAAATTTATGATTTATAATGTCTGCAGGATCCTTTGTGGTGCCCTTTCATTTTGACACTGGTCATTTGTCTCTTCTCTCTTTTTATCCTTGTCAGTTGAGCTAAGGGTTTGTCAATTTTATTGATTTTTTTGACAAATTTTTGTTTCACTAATCCTCTCATTTTCATGTTTTTATCTTAAGCGATTTCTGCCCTTTTTAAAATTTCATTCTTTCTGCTTGCTTTTTTTGTTGCTGTATTTTTCCTTTCTCTTCTTTTTCCAGCCTCTTGAGGTTGGAATTTAGATTATTGATTGATATATTTTCTCTTTTCTAATGTAAACACCGTATTAGCTGAACCCCACAAACTTTGATATGTTGTATTTTCAATTTCATTTCAATTTTCATTCACCTTCATTCATTTTTATTTTTAAGTTGCCTTTGAGACTTCTGCTTTGCCCCAGGGATTATTTAGAAGTGTGTTGTTGAATTTCCAAGAATTTGGAGATTGTTCTATTGTCTTTCACTTACTGATTTTTTAAAAAATTTTTATTATATTCAATTAGCCAACTTACTGATTTCTAATTTGATTGCATTGTGGTTAGAAAGCATACTCTGTATAATAACAATTCTTTTAGGTTGGTTAAGGTTTGCTGTGTGACCGAGGATCTGGCCTTTTTTTTTTTTTTAAAGATTTTATTTATTTATTTGACAGAGAGAGAGACAGCGAGAGCAGGAACACAAGCAGGGGGAGTGGGAGAGGGAGAAGCGGGCTTCCCGCTGAGCAGGGAGCCCGATGCGGGGCTCGATCCCAGGACCCTGGGATCATGACCTGAGCCGAAGGCAGACGCCCAACAACTGAGCCACCCAGGCACCCCTGGATCTGGCCTTTCTTCCCGGTGAGTGTCCCGTGCGACTTGCATAGGATGTGTATCCTGCTGTTGTTGGGTAGAGTATTCAGTAATGTCAGGCAAATCCAGTGGGCCATGGTGTTTGTTCCTCTGGAGCCTTGTTGGTTAGCAAACGTTGTAAGCTGGGTTTTGAAATCCCCAGCTACGACTGTGAATTTATCTGTTTCTCTTTTCTTCTCCACCAGTTTTTGCTTCGTGTGTTTTGGAACCTTGCGGTGTGCTACACGCAAACTTAGGATCGCTGGATCTTGGTGGGTTGACCGAGTCTTTATCGTTCTGTGATGCCCTTTTTTGTTATTATCATCACTCTTGCTTTTTTTCTAATTCATATTTGCATGATACAGCCTTCCCATCCTTATCTTTCCTACGTATCTATAATAGAGTGTTGTTTTGTAGTCATTTTTCTCATAGACTGTAAGTGATTGAGTCGTGTGTTACCCGCTCTGTCTCTACCTTTTTTCACTCTTAATTTTTTCCAACTTTACTGAATAATAACTGATCTCTGTGTTTTAATTGGTGTATTTATACTACTAATATTTAAAATAGTCATTCATATGTTAGAGCTTAAGTCTGCCATTTTAGTATTTTGTTTTATATTTGTCCCCTTTTTTCATTCCTCTGTTTTTTTCTTCTTTGTTTATTTGGTTGTTTTTGGGCGGTTTTTTGCTTGCTTTCTTGTGAGTTACTTGAACATTATTCTTCTTTATTTATAAAATTTTTTATTTATATAATTTTATTTATATAATTTTATTTATGTAATTTTATTTATATAATTTTATTTATATAATTATATAATTTTATAACATTAGATTCTTCTTTATAGTATTTTTATTTATATAATTTTATTTATATAATTTTATTTATGTAATTTTATTTATATAATTATTTATATAATTTTATAACATTAGATTCTTCTTTATTTATAGTATTTTTTATTTATATAATTTTATTTATATAATTTTATTTATATAATTTTATTTATGTAATTTTATTTATATAATTATATAATTTTATAACATTAGATTCTTCTTTATAGTATATTTATATAATTTTATAACATTAGATTCTTCTTTATAGTATTTTTTATTTATATAATTTTATTTATATAATTTTATTTATGTAATTTTATTTATATAATTATTTATATAATTTTATAACATTAGATTCTTCTTTATTTATAGTATTTTTTATTTATATAATTTTATTTATATAATTTTATTTACATAATTATTTATATAATTTTATAACATTAGATTCTTCTTTATTTATAGTATTTTTTATTTATATAATTTTATTTATATAATTTTATTTATATAATTATTTATATAATTTTATTTACATAATTATTTATATAATTTTATAACATTAGGTTATTTATAGTATTTTTTATTTATATATTTTTATTTATATAATTTTATTTACATAATTATTTATATAATTTTATAACAGATTTTTCTTTATTTATAGTATTTTTACATTTTATTTATATAATTTTATTTACATAATTATTTATATAATTTTATTTACATAATTATTTATATAATTTTATAACAGATTCTTCTTTATTTATAGTATTTTTTATTTATATAATTTTATTTATATAATTTTGTTTATATAATTTTATTTATAATTTTATTTACATAATTATTTATATAATTTTATAACATTAGATTCTTCTTTATTTATAGTATTTTTTTACATGCCACTTCGCATAACTTTACTGCCAGTTGCCCTAGCTGTGACCTGACACCTGTATGATATACCACAATCCGTGTTCTTTCAGTGTTTTACCCTCTGAGTGTAGAAGACTTACCTCCATTTAGATCTTTGACCCTCCCCACTTCTTTTTTTTTTTTAAGATTTTCTTTATTTGACAGAGAGAGAGCACAAGCAGGGGGAAAGGCAGGCAGAGGGAGAGGGAGAAGCAGGCTCCCTGCTGAGCAGGGAGCCCGACGTGGGGCTCAATGCCAGGACCCTGGGACCATGACCTGAGCTGAAGGCAGATGCTTAACCCACTGAGCCACCCAGGCACCCCAGCCCTCCCCACTTTTTAAATATCATTATCTTAAGTGTTTCCACTGCATGCATTGAGCACCACATCAAATGGTATTATAATTTTGGCTTCAAACATAAAGTATAATTAAAGAAACTCAAGAGGGGAAGAGCAGTCTGTTGTGTTTGCCTCTGTATCTTCTCCTTCACTGTCCTTGTCTTCCTCTCTGAAGGCCCCACCATCTGTCTGTTGTCATTTTCTGCTTTAGTCTGCTCAGGCTACCATGACACATCCTACAGCCTGGGGGCTCAAACAGCCCAAGTGCCTCCCTCACAATTCTGGAGGCTGCAAGTCCATGGTGAGGTGTTGGCAGGTGTTGTTTCTCCTGAGGCCTCTCTCCTTGGCCTGTAGGCTGCCCCTTCCCGTGTCCTCACATCGCTTCTATGTGCATACGCCCCTGGGGTCTCTTCCTCTTCTTGTAAAGACCACTGGTCCTATCAGATTGGGACCCCACCCTCAGAACCTTGCTTAACCTGAGTCACCTCCTTAAAGGTCTTCAAATACAGTCACACTGGGAGTTGGGTTTCAACATATGAATGGCGGGGTGGGGGGTGCAATTCGATCTACATTTTTTTTAATGTTTGGGGGGTTTCCTTTACCAGGCTTTAAAGGTAGGACTGCCAGCACCAAATTCTTTTAATTTTCCTTCATCTGAGAAGTCTAATTCCCCTTTATTTTTGAAGGATAGTTTTGCCAGATATAGGATTCATGGTTGACAGATCTGTTCTTTATTTCTAGAAAAATGTATCACTGACTTCTGGCCTTGATGGTTTCAGAAGAGAAATCTGGTGTCACTAATTTGATCTTCCAGTACAGGTAATACGTCATCTCTCTCTGGTTTTTAAGATTTTTTTTTTTTTTTTGTCTTTAGTTTTTTGGAAGTTTAATAATGATGTGTCTTTGTTCAGATTTCTTTGTGTTTATCCTGTTTGGATTTCCCCCAGCTTCTTTTTTTTTTTTTTTTTAAAGATTTTATTTATTTATTTGACAGAGAGAGACACAGCGAGAGAGGGAACACAAGCAGGGGGAGGGGGAGAGGGAGAAGCAGGCTCCCTGCAGAGCAGGGAGCCCGATGCGGGACTCGATCCCGGGACTCCAGGATCATGACCCGAGCCGAAGGCAGTCGCTTAACCGACTGAGCCACCCAGGCACCCTCCCCCAGCTTCTTGAATCTGTAGTTTTGTATCTCTTGCCAAATTTGGGAAGTTGTCAACTATTGTTTCTTTGACTGTTTTTCAGCTACACCCTCTTTCTCTTTTTCTGGAACTCGGGTGACAAATGTTGGATATTTTGGATACTTAGACATCTGTTTCACAGATCCCTGAGACTCCATTCATTTTTTTCAGTCTATTTTCTCTGTTTTGTTCAGACTGAATAAATTCCATTGATCTGTCTTCAAGTTCATGGATTCTATCCAAAGTCATCTCCATTCTACTATTGAGTTCATTCAGTGAGTTTTTATAACTTCTGTTTCTTTGCAGAGATTTTTTAATTTTTTCATTTTTCTCAAGAGAATTTGTAATTGTCTATTGAAACATTCTTAATTACACTGTTTTAAAATCCTTGTCAAATAATTTCAACATCCTTTCGCTCCAGTATTGGCATCCGGTGATTCTTCTCTCTCAAAGTGTAGTTTTCCTGATTGTTGGTATGATGAGTAAACTTTTATTATATCTGGACATTTTGGTTCTTGTGTTAAGGGACTCTTAATGCTACTTAAATCTTCCATTTTAGCAGGCAAGTGTCCCCTTTTACATTTACTGTCTAGGTTCTGACCTGCTTTTGTGGGAGGGTTAGTTTTTAGAGCCCTTACGGTGCCACTGGCTGGCCTCATTCTTCCGGCACTTTGGGCTCTCGCTCAGTACCCCCTGTTGCTGCCTGAAAGGGTGGAAGTTGCTTCCCTGGGTTATCTGTGTTGCTAGGGCCACCTTCTGCCCTGGGACGTGGGAGGGGCTTGAGCCACTGAGCCTGGGTCTTCTCCTGCTACTGGATACAGAGCACAGAGTTGCTGGGCTGTGCCAGGCAGCCCCCTTGGAGGATCAGCCCACCAGGCAGTTACCAAGTGCACAGTGGGGGTTGGGTCAGCCCCGCGGGGCTTTGAAGGCAAATCGGGCTCCCTGCTCTGTCCCCTTGTGAAGGATTGGTTAGCAGCCCCCATTTGGGCTCTATTTGGCTCCTCCTTTCCCAGTTCTTCTGCCAGGCCTTTCTTGTTCGTTTATTTGTCTCTGCCCATTGGCAGTTCCAGGCTTCAGGCCTCTTTGCACCCATGTGGGGTGTATGAGAGATCAAAGACCTCAGTATATCACCACACCTGAAGACCCGAAGTCCCCAACCAGTCCCCCATCTTCTTTTCTGCTCTCAGAGTCCCTTTGCCATTTTCTGTCGGATTATTTCCAGGCTATTTAATTGTGTTTGGGAGAGAGGGGGTGGATACATGAATTTATGCTTTCTTGTTTGGAAGCTGGAAGTACCATTGAAGATTTTGCAAATGAAAAGTGAAATGAACCACTTGGAATCCATGGCTGCAAGAGCCACTGGGCCCTGGCACAGAGGGTGCACTCTGGTCATTCATTACTTGTTGAATGAACGATGAGTGAAGTTTTCATGGTCTAACTTCAGTGTCCCGAAGGCTTTTGTAAGACAGAGTGCCATTTCCCTGAGTTCTTGGACAAGAATACTCAAGAATCCTTCTCGGGGTTTGTAGGCTGCACCTTTCTGAGCAAAAACCACATTGAAGTGGTAGTCTGAAGGTAGGAGAGTGTTATTCTCCAAAAGCTGATGACGTTACTGTCTGCTCATATCTTTGTTCATCTGCCCTTCAGTTCATCCATCTCTCTGTGCGTATATAGGTATTTATCTAATCACCCTGAGTCTCATACCTCTTTTCTCTTTTCAAAAAAGCAAAAAACTTGTTTTATTCAGTACCCAGACATACTTAGCATAATAAGTCAGGACTCAAAGACAACCCCTTAGCCAGAATCTTTCTTCAGGAAAGAGGCCAGCATTTAACATATAGAAATGACAAGATTCTTTAAATTTTGCTCTTAACAGCCCTGTATTAACACGACAGAACCTCAGCATTTTTTAAAGCCTCTACATGTTGAGATTTCTATAAGATTTCCTTCAGCGCATGCTCCCTCTTCTCCGTAAATATTATGATGCCTCTCAGATGTGGCTTTTTAAATGAAAGCATCCTAATGAAGCAGTAAACAATTCCACGGTGAGATATCCACTGCACAGGGTGTGTTTCACAAAACATCACACCCGCGGGTTTTGTTTTTGTAAATCTTTTACTCCCCAGTGGATACCCCACTTTCTGTATTCAAGAGATGAATACATAAGGAATTCATTAAGAAATCAGGCTTTGGTGGGACAGCTTTGATTTGACACTTTTGAAATACGATCCAGGTCATGGTGGTGAATGGTGCAAACCTCTTTTTTGGCACCAGCATCTGGACTTGATTATTTTAAATTGGGTTGTGGGGCACTGGTATCCCCCCTTGATGGAGCTGCTACTGCAGCCAGACCTGGTATCCCGAGATGATGCGGGAAATTAGCATGTGCTCAAAATACCTGGAAGCAAACGTGTACCGTAATTCTCGGCTTTGCTGTTTCAGCGCCAGGTTGTGATAAGCTTTTAGAACCCCACCCTTTGTGCTTCATTGGCGACGCTGGCTTTCATGCCAAGGATAAACTTAACCCTGGAGCATTTTTTTTTGCACGTAATGCCTTCCCTCAGAAGCATGACACTCAATAGGCTCTTCGATGAATATTTATTAAATGGATAAAAAAATAACTCCAAAATAACCTGCCACTAATAACGTGGCTAGGGTGCTGTGGGCAGCTGTGTGGGCAGCCTTGTGGCTCCCCGCCCTCTTTGTCTCATGGGCTTCACTGCCTTGGCGCCCGTGGTTGCCAGAAGTTGGGAACCAGATGGTCTCCTGGCCTCCACCCCATCTGTAGTCAAACAAGAGTGGGTAAAATTGGGCTTTCACCCACTTTTCAACAGCTAATAAGTCCAGTTTTCTGATTTCGGGAATGTTTATATCTGAAAGTTTATTTTTCAGGATCAGAGTCTGGTTAAAAGAGAAAGAAAATCCGTTTCACATCTGAAGAGCTTCCCGGCCGTCTGTCTTTCCTCTTCTATGTTGTTTCAGAAACAGTCACATGGCCACTTCTCGGCTAATTTCACCGAAACCAAATTCCATGCACACTTCTGCCTCAAAGATGAATGGCTTGTTTTGATATTTGGAAAGAGCTTTACAAAAAATATTTTGGGAAGAGATTCTGCACCAGGAAGATCTGAATGCAGAGCCTCATTCATGCACATGCACACCAGGGTGACCTGATCGGGTCCCACGTGTTTCTCTCCCCAAGTCTTAGCTGAAAGTCACCCAGGGCTGAAGAGTCTTAGCATCTGCAGTGTTGTGTCTCAGAGCTGCATGTCCTGTAAACCCCCACAGAACCCACTCACAGAGGAGAAGACAGAGACAGATACACTATCAGCCGGGGTGTCACCCAGACCCACTCGTGATACCCGGGACCTGCCCTTGCTGCACCTTTCTGTCTATCACGCAGCTAATCCAGAGTGGACTAGACATTGCCCTGGAAGATAAAATCTCAGGAAACCAATAATTTTCCAAAGGGTCTTTGAATCTGCCTTGACTTCTAACCCAACATGACTTTCATTTGTTCCACTTGGCAACACGCTTTATGTCCCACTCACAAATTCTACTTCTAAATTCAGGATTGTTTTCCCCTTCAAATAATGGCATTTGTTTTTTCCCTTCTGTGTATCAAAAATGGCTTTCTAGAAGCCACAAAGTGAGGGAAACTAATTTATTTGTTGCAGAATAGGTGTTTATAGTCTTGGGAACATTACTGAGATTCCTGGGGCCTTGTTTCTGAATGACTTTTCATCTGGGTTCCTGTGCAGGCCGAGCAGACTCTCCCACGTGGAGGACACAGGACTTTGGAGTCAGGAAGAGAGAATTCCAATAACAGCCTCCCAGTCTCTTAGCCGTGTAGCCTGAGGCAACATTTTGAGCCTCAAGTTTCCCCTCTGTGAAACGAGGTGGATGCACCTGGTTCTCAGTGCTGTGTGGGCACCCCCCGGGGGCAGAGCTGACAGGATGCTCATCCCACTTACGATGGCCAGCCAGAATGAGGCCCACAGCTAGCGCTTGCGGCCCGCTCTGATCAACAGGATGCATGCAGGTGTCTAGCCTGAGGCTGACTGGTCGTGTCTCAGACGCAGGCCCTAAAACGAGGATAAAGGGACAAGTTTATCTGGGAGGCAATCCCAGAAGGCGCCTGCAGGGGAGGCCAAGGCACTGACACCATTCCAGGGAACGGCATCCATGAGAGCGTCCTGCTGTGGGCAGCTGGGTCTCTGTCCTGCTGGGGACCTCCCAGCTGACTGCTTGGCGAGTCCAAGGATGGCTAACTACCACCACTCCTGCCCACTCTGGGGCTGGGGGCTGCTCCAGCATGTCCTCGCCCCCCCAACACAAGCTCTAGTTGCCACGGCACTTGCCGTAAGGGTCGTGGGTCTGCGAGCACGAGCTCCAAGGAAATGTGGCGTCAGCAATGTCTGGTACAACTGCTGTTAGAGGTTTGCTGAAGGGAACTCAGCACTAGCGGGTACCTCAAGTGACGTTGGTCGCTCTCGGCCCAGTGAGCAGGCCTGGCTGTGCTACTCGGGTTCAGCCCCAGGCACAGATAGCAGGGGCCGGGGAAGGGGCTCCCCGCCTCCGAGGCAGACCCTCAAGGAGCTGACAGCTGGGGGCGGCAAGCTCTTCCTGGAAGGAGTAGCCAGATGGCGTGTCTGTCCAGCACATTCGCCCTCTCTTGCTTCCAGAATTCGGGCAGGCAGGCTCTCCCTGCCTGGTGCCACCCCTCCCAGGACCCTTCTTCGGAGGAGAGGCCTCTGGGAGCTGACATGTGGTGTGAGAGCGCTGGCTCCCTGCCCAGCATACTCCAGCAGGGCCACCAGCCCCAAGCTCCCCTCACACACACTGCTGGCTCGCTTCTTAGCGCCTGCTCTTCAGTGCAAACGTAGACAAGCATTACCATCGTGGGAGAAACCAAAACAAGTGAGCACACAAAGCAGACCATTCAAGTAAAGAATTACACATGCACTCACACACACATACCACGTACACCTGTTGTTGGATACCATCAGAGATAGAAGAGAAAATTCTGCATCGTGAATTGAGAATAATCATCAGAGGCCAAAAACAGCCTAAATGAAATTTTTTTACAAGTTCAGCAGGTGGAGTGAAAGATGAAATTAAGGACCTATTGGGCTAAGGGGATAGAGACATGGAAAATACAGGGAAAAATGTAAGAAAAGTAGAGAATCATTCTAGGAGGCACAATATCTAATTAACAGAAAGCACAGAATAAAAGAACAGAAATGTATTTCTATTTTTTTTAAGATTTTATTTTTAAGTAATCTCTACACCCAGTGTGGGGCTCAAACCCACAACTCCAAAATCAAGAGTCAACACGCTCCACCCACTGAGCCAGTCAGGGGCCCTCGTAACATATTGTTAAATAAACTGAAAGCTTAACTCTTAGTTAGATGTTGGACCTTCTACAGTGATTAATGGGTAAATGGATAAATAACCCAAGGTTCTCACACTTCAAAAATTAATACACAGAAATTTCCCAAAACCAGAGACATGAGTTTCCATATCAAAGAGGCCCATTGGAACACCTCAGAAAATGAGTTTCAAAGACCTATGGCCAAGTACATCATTATGAAACTTCACATAACAAATCTGAATTGTGTTTCCAAAGTTAACCTGTTCAAGTTATAAGTACGTATTCATAAAAGGCTGTGCCTTGAGCTATGTATGGTTCTAACTTTAAGAGGACCCACCCAGCCAATTTCCAGAGGCTGAGTTAATCAGACTGAATCACCACGGTTGTGAGTGAAGTCAGCCTCCAATAAGAAATGTAGTTTAGAACTTAAAGTGAGCAAACACAGTTGTCTATATCAAATAGTCAAAACTTGGACTGTCTCGTGGCAAACATACTCCGGTCCCAAGGTTACAAGAAAACATTAGCACAACACTATCAGTATTCCGAGAAAGCCCCTTATGCTTCTTATCTCAAAGACTTAGCCAGAGCTTAACTTTATGCTGAAGAGATACACAATTTGTGTAGATTTAACAGGCTTGTCCAGTGGAACATCTCCTTATCTATCTAAAAAATATCTACTGTCCAGCTCAGGGTTGTTCTTTTTAAAAGCACCTGTTTTAGAAGATTCCGATTTTTGGGGGGTTTCTCATTAAATGCTTCTGCTTCAGCCGAATGTTATAACCAAGGCAGAATTAAAGACTATGGGACTCCCGAGTTCTCTACTTCCACCCCAAACACCAGAGAGAACTCATAATCCTAAACTTTCCCAGAGGAAAAAAGCACGGATCCTCTATTGTGACAGATGCCACAGATGTCTACCAACAGCCCTTTCCTCTTTCTGGGGAATTAGTAGAACCCAGATTGGAGGCCTGCCGTATGGCCCCTCCTGTGGGAGGAGTCATGATGGGGCCCACAAGGTCATCTAGGACCCCTTGGCCAGGTGCTGGACTGGGTGTGGTGTGGCCTGGCCCTGAGCAAGGACATACAGGGACACATCTGCTGAGAATGGTTTCATCTTATTGCTCCTCTCCTTGTGACTCAGGATGTGAGGTTTGGAGCTGATGCAACCATCTTACCCCAATGAAGAGCGCCATCCATGGCTGACATGCTGGAGATGGAGGAGTGGATTGCTGGAAGGCGCCTGAGCCCTTGATGAGCATGGAGAGGTGCCAAACCAACCTCAGGATTGCTTCCTTCCAGACCTCCCCCTAATGGAACAGTCAAGGTACTCATGTCGTTTTTAGACAGATATTATGTTCTGGGGAGGATTGGAACGTGACACCCCAAATGTGCCACATGGACATAAGGATTATTTTTGAGCTGAAAGCAATTGAAAAGCTGCAGATGTAGGAAAACCTCTCTGTCCTCCCCCTATTTCCTGAAAAAAGGGCATGAATTTCCCTTTGTGAAGGTGTCCCCCTCTACTATAGCCAGCAAGGGAGGAACAACATTTATGACTAGAGGTGGAGGTGTTACCAATATGAGTCTGCATAAACAGAGCTTACTAAATGACCCTTCTAGTACATTCCCCCATATTGTTACCTTCCCATAATTTACTGCCACTAGAAGCCCAAACCTATTTCCTCTGTCCAGCTGTGTCTGTACAATTTATCACATATAAGTCACATATATAATTTATTATGTATAAGCCTCCAGGTCTATCCACCTCCTTGGGTGTTTACTTCTTTTCTACAAAGAGCTTCGTGTACATGTAAAAATTAAGATTAACATCAAATAAAGTTTGTGTGCCTTTTGTCCTGTTAATCTTTTCGTTGATTTAATTTGTAAACCGCAGTCCAAGAACATAAGAGGGTGGATGAAAAGTTTTTTTCTCCCCTGCAGTCCCTTGCTACCCAAAGCATCTTAAAATACACATGCAAAGAATCAGGAACAATAGTAGCAAAGGACTTCTCAGCAGCGGTATGGGAAGTTAGGAGATAGTGGGAGGATATCTTTGCAGCTCAGAAAGACTATCATTTGCCTGTAGCAGAGAGAATCCCTACTTCCCCCTGTCCTAATTAGCACTACTGATGGATATTCAGTGGTATCTCATTGTGGTTTTAATTTGCACTTGTTGATACCCAGTGAGCCTGAGCATTTATCCAGACTTATTTGTCGTGTGGGTTTCTTGCAGGAACTGTCCATTCGTGTTACATACTTTGTTGTCTCTTCCCTTTCCGATGTGTGAGCTTTCTTTTGTATTCTGATACTATTCCCTTGTTCTCTGTGTTGCAAATAACTTCTCCCACTCTGTGATTCAGGCAGGTGAGGGTTTGCATTCTGGCTGTGTTGTCATCGAGACTGAACCCACTGGTGTGTGATCTGATGCATGTTGCCCGAGTTTGGTCTCCCCTCTGTCTAATGGGGTGATATAGCCTGAGTCAGAGGATTGTTCAGGGCGTTAAGTGAAATAAAGCGTGTCAACAGGGTGGTCGATTAGTATACGGAGATAGCTTTCATGTCATTATGACTCATGGATCCTCAGAGCAGGGGAAGCTTAGAGATCCCTGAGTCCATTGATCCCTGAATGATAATATATCACTGATACATGTAAATACATAATGGTGTGTAGATAGCACTCCCCGGGACCGGGACAGTTTTCAGTTTTACACATGTTAGCTCATCCACTCTTCACAACAACTGTATGCAAAAGATACTATGGTTACCCCAGTTTTACGTACGAGAAACCCGAGAAACAAACTGCCTAGGACACTTGCCCAAGACATCTTGGAATGGGTAAACAAGACAAAGCTACTCTTTCTGCTCCTGCCTCTACTGGGAGGAGCACTCCCAACTGTTCAGTTAAAAAAAAGGAATGTTGTTTAGAGTAGGCTTAGGCCGGCTTGTGAGAGATCGCTGGAAAGGGGCTGATAAGCCCCAGCCACTGCAAGGACATCTTGAGTTTCTGAAGAATGACTGGTCGGGGCCCTCACCAAGGTGAGAGGAGCCATCGATCCAGACCTGGGGTGTGGGCCACAGTCCTGCCAACCCCACAGTGCCCCGGGCCGTGTTCCCTGACGCTCTCCCCTAGGTTAGCAAGAACCAGCTCTGGAGGCTGTCAGGAGGGACCACCCACTCTCCTGACACACAGCGGGCCACCTGCCAACTTTCTGCCACGGCTTCCATCAGATTCTCAAAGAGGCTTATCCTCTCAAAGATGGTTCATTTACCAAACATACCACCAGTCTGAATCTTAAGCTCCCCGACAAAAACGACAGATATAACTTTTTTTTTTTTTGAACTTCTATAGTAAAGAGAGTTTCAGTGTCCCCAGCTTCTGGGACTCCTTGAGTGAGTTTTACTTGCGTGAATAAAAGAGAGTCAATAGGTGGTCTAGGGGAAGGAAGAAAAAAATCTGTGTTCCTGCACCCTCTTAGGTTCAGTGTCTGGGGCTCTGCAGTTTAAACTGCCCACAAAAAAACCCCAAAACAAAGATTCACGGGAGAAAAAGGTTTATTTCATATCTATATGCGAGGCCTTACAGAAATGAAATGAAAACCCAAAAGAAATGGTTAGGTCTGAGAACCTTATATACCGTTTTCAACAAAGAGCAACCAATTGTGGAGACAAGACAAAGGGAAAGGGGTTTATGCTTTTAGGAAAGTGACAAATTGTGGGAGATAAATATATGGGGGAAACCAATGGAAGACAAGGGTTGTCTCGGTAAAGGCCTGTTTGTGTGGATCCGAGTCAGCGTTGACTCTTGGTCTCAGCTGATGACAATATTCTCTTCTTGGTACAAGGGCACTTCATCGCAGAAGTTTGATGACCTGCTTTTAGGTGGAAAGGAGGTCAGAGAGCCCTTCCCGCATCTGCTGTTTCTCAATTTCCTTTAGCTCAAAATAATCAATATGACAACGTGGCATGATTTAGGTTGGCATGTCCCAATGCCTTCAGTGGGGAGGATCCCTTGCTCTTCCCTCCACCCCCATCCCAACAGCCTTCCCCCCGGGCAGGGGCATTACCTTTCATTAAGCAGGTAAACAGCCTGGAGATTCTTGCATGGGAGAGCTCTGGGGACTTCGATGAGCTTTGCTGCAGGACCCGAATGTGTGAGGCCCTGGCACCAGGCCCCTGGCAGGGGACTTCCCAGTGTCAGCCCCTCTGGTGGGCTTTACCTAGCATGACTGCTTACAGCCACTAGGCTCCTTCCATCTCAGCTAGAAATTGGGATGCACGGTCTTATTCTGAATGTTTTCCTGGATAGCAATGCTTTCAAAGTTTACCCACTTTGGTTAAAGATCCATTCAAAGTTTTAGCAGAGCCTGGTGAACAAATGCTGTTTTAATGCAGCGCTAATACTCCTATACAGTTACACTTAGGTAGGGAAACTGAGCTTGTTTAATTTAATCCAGCGCCTGGCCCACAGCATGCCAAGGTCTGGAGGGAGTTTGCTTAAGCAGTCCAGTTCTCCCAAAGCCAAAACATAAGTAAATTAAAATTCTTTACTGATTTGGGGAAATTTTAACAGATCATGTTTTCCTGGTGCTACTATTTAAAAAAGGAGAACGATGAATAAAATTATGTGTATTTTACAAGCTAACAAAATAATCTCCCTAACGCCATTCTGACGTGTAAACAAACAGGTGTGTGTGCCCACGGGCAACATCCGAGCGGGAAGAAGCATCCTGTCTCTGCAGCAGAGTGAGATTTCTACTGGGTTTGGACCAGGGCATAAGGGTAACATTGTATTTTAAGTAACATTTTATTATAATAGAGGAAATACACCTAAAAGCCTTTAAAGAAAGTATCAAGTACAAAATCACCCTTGATCCTGCTGCACAGAAATAACAGACAAATTATTATTAAGATTTGAAAGTAGTAACCTAACTAGTGACAGAGTTAGTTCAGGGAGTAGAGGGGCAGTCTGTTTTTAATATTATTTTATTTATTTATTTTTAAGTAAGCTCCATGCTCAATGTGGGACTTGAACTCATGACCCCAAGATCAAGAGTTGCCTGCTCTACCTTCTAAGCCAGCCAACCAGGTGCCTGAGAGGAGCATTCTTTAAAAAAGAAACATTTGAAGATGGTCCACTTAACACTTAAACACAAGGTAATAGTAATAATAATTTTACGTAGGTGATTTTTCTGAATTTCCGCATCTTCATAAATTGTCCTATTTATAACTATATTGCACTAGAGTGACACGAACAACAATAATAATAGTGATTAGTGTTTAATGAGCCCTCACAGTTGGTCAAGCACATGTTAGATTCCCTCAAAAACCAGGCAAAGCCTCCCCTGAGTACCAAACCATATTTACATGACGAATAAATGTGATCATTAAATCAAGATAAAAGAGTAGGATAGTCTATTAAGTAAGATGTTAGAAAATGTCTGGTGACTTTTGCAGGGACCCCCATCGGAGTGAGACATAGGCCATCTCCACTTTAGGGCCATTCTGCCATCACTTACGCACCCCAGGAGGGAGACAAGCAGCAGAATTAGGACAACAGAGTCTGACCCTCAGAATAAAAGAAGTATCGGTGAGTCCATACTGTACAGACACAGGCTTGAATTACAGGTCAGTTAAGTGCGGGAAGCGGGAACAGCCCTTTCTCACAGATGAATCCCAGTTAATGAAGATCGAAGGAGTGAGGGAAATAGAAAACCCCAAGCAATAATTGTTAGAGGCAAGGTCCTCCGAGATGGGGGGAAATTAGGAGGACGGGGAGCAGGTCCGAGGAGAAACGGGGCATTTGCAGTGTCTGAGAATAATCCCCTTCTCCTGCTGACGCACAGTGGGGACCCTGACACACAACCCGACCCAGGGGACCCAGGGCACCCTCACGGAGGGTCAGACAGCCCGACCCGGTGACCCTGAGAGGCACACTGCACCGAGAAGGGCAGGCCGGCACGGGGTGCTGTCCTTGCTGCAAATGTGCCACCTCAGTGTGACGAGCCAGACAAGCCCGGTCGCTGGAAGCAAAGGGCCAGCGCTCTTGGGCAGCCTGCACCATGTTCTCAGGCCTGTGCAGAGTTTGGGGCGGGGGCCCCACAAGGAACACCCCTTCTCTTTTACTGAGTTCTGAGCCAGTTGACAAATAAGACAGTCAGAGATCCAAATTCCAGTTCCACTCGGTTACAGCTGGCTGGAGAAAGGGGTTTTCTCTCTCTTTCCGGTGGCTTTCTCTCCATACCCTCGGTCCAGCCCCACCCACAGGCAGATCTGAGCAGCCGTGGCAGGAGAGCAGGGAGGCAGGAGAGCCGGTGACTGGATCTGGAAATCTGCAGAAGCCACAATGAGCCAGGCACCCCCTGTTTCCCCCAGACACCCATCAGACAAGGCCTGACCCCGGGCGTCTGCCCCAAGGGGAGACAGTTTTTGCTGGTGCGCCAGGCTCAGGAGGCTGGGGAGAGAGGGAGGAGGGTTTCTCAGCAGCTTGTACCCAGAGGACTAGCTGGAGTCCGTGAGTCAAGGCTGCCAAGGGCCGGGGGCAGAGGGGACCGGGACAGCGTTTGGGTTTTGCAAGTTGACGGCTGCTAGGGCTGGATGGCAGAGGACGGTCTCCGAAACTTCTATTTATTCCCTCTGCAAGGACTACAGCCCTGGGGTGACCGGAAAATACCCTGGGAGTGCCCCTTCTTGCTCCAGGAGCAAGTGAGGGGGTGCCTCGAGGTCCCCAGCCGAGCAGGGCAGAGGCTCGCGCGACAGGGCCCGCGTCCAGGGCGAGGCCGGTGACCCGGGCCCAACGGAGGCTGCTTGCCGAGGGGGATGAGGCACCGTGTCCTTGCCCAGGATCCTTCCTGACTCCCTTAGATCTGGAGTGGCTCTGGGCCGGCTCCAGATGGAGACTGAACCCGTGACCTCTCCACATAAAGACGTCCGTGACACCCACTGCGCCATCTGGGGCTCATAAAACCACGTTCTCTATCTGTTCGTGGCTCACAGGCCATTCCAAAGCTGAGGGGCAATATTTGGGACCGCTCTGGTTTATTCGTGGGCTTTAATTCAGAACATATTTCCACAAAGAGAGGCAGAACAAAGCACAATAGCACTAAAGTCCAATTTACATTCTCCGTCAGTGAAACAAAATGGAAATAAAAAACAGTTGTGCGGGACTCATTTATAGCTAAACTATGGCTCTAAAAGCGCCTCTCGTATAATGTCATGGAATAAAGGACATTTTTAAACCACCCGCAAAAGAGCTTAGGTGACCAAAAAAGGAGAGGCGAAGACTTTCTATTAAGAAAACAGTTTTTAAGTTAGAGCAGCGATGACAGCCTGCAATCTCTCTCTCCCAATTGGGCAGATGCAGTTATTTGACTCCTTCCTGACTTCAGGTCTTCTCCTGTGGGGAGCGGTCTGCTTGGGGGCCCGCTCCTCACTGGGAAGCCCCAGGAATCGCCGGCTCGGGGACGCGGGAAGCGGGCTTGCTCTGCCATCACACCCCCACGTGATCTCCAGGCACAGATTCGCCCTCATGAGCCGCGTCTGGCCTGTTCTGCAAAACAGTGTCGCGAGTGCCGGCCGATGGGGGCACCTCCCACCCCCACGGCGAGGCGCTGGCGCACGAAGTGCACGTCCCCACGGGACGGGACGTGTTCTGAGATGCTGGTGATAAGTGCGGGGCTCCCTGAGTTCAATGTCAGACTGCATCACATGCAGCTCATCATCAGCAAAGCCAGAAATAGACGGCTGAGTCCACGTCCTGCACATTTTCCACGCGGCTGAGAAATGGAAACTCGCTGAAGAGCGTGTACGAGCCCTCATGAGAGTGGTCCCATCAAGCCGCTGGCAGCCCACTGGCCTGGTCACCAGGCCTTCCCTTGTGCTGAGTTTTCTCTAAATCTGGCCCGCCCCCTGGCTGCTTTATCTCTGCCTGCTTGTGTTTCTTTGATAGGCTCCTCTCCACCTGACACCCTCCCTTCTTATTCCACTCCTGTCCCCACTGTTGTACCCTCACCTTCCTAAGGCTGGGAAGCATCTCTCCTTCATCCTTGGCTCTCGGGTTTTCAGCCCAAGGCTTGCTGTGTAGTTGGGGGCTTGTTAAATGCTAGTCGGAGGAAGGAATGCTCCATCTGCACTAAATTCAATCACTTTCCAAATTAAGTTTTAAAAAACGTTTTGTTTTCCTTTCGTTGTACATAAATACCTGCTAAAGAAATCCACTTGCTAGATATATTTAGATATTGTAGGAGATGCTTGGACATAAAACCTGTACATTAGCCACTCCCAGCCCCAAATCACAACTCCTGCTCTTTAGCTCACCCCTGGGGGGGAGGGTCCCCTCTGGTTCAGTGGTCCATGGGGCCAGTTATGGCCAAAGTGGAAAATATCCGTAAAGACCCGTAGTAGGGACTGTGACCAGTGCCACCCTGTTCCCCTTCTTCTCCCACTGACGGCCCCTGAGCCAGTGGAGAGAGGAGGCAGGCAGCAAGCGTGAATCTGAGACCCGCTGCTCCTAGTGGGGAGGAGCGGGGACATAGGAAGATCTAGGATTCTGGAGGGCATCATGGAGCAGCTGAGCCCATGCCGACAACTGCTATCCCAGACTTCCTGTTCTGCAAGAAAATTAAGCCCTTCTTTATTGAAGCCATTTTTAGCCCAAAGGTGGCCTAGTGTCTTTTGAATAATCTCTGAAGCAAGAGATCACGGAGCAGTTGCTCTGAGCAGAGCACTATGGTAGTTTGAGGGGAGGTACACAGCTTGACTAAGACAGCGCTTTTTGGAAGGAAGATGCTTTTTGGAATGTATAGGAAAGCCTGCTTGAGAGTACAGTCACATCCCCAGGTCTTAGTACATTTTGTTTTTTCTCCTATGACCTTCCAACATAAGGCTGTGTTTATATTTTTTCTGAACCATTATCAAATAGGTAACAGTTCTCATGCCATTTGCTATGGAATACACCATCCTACACTTCCAAGAAATAAGGATTTTCTCCTCTATTACCATGATAGCATGATCATATTAAAAATTTCCACATATAATCTAATGCCCAATCCATATCCAAATTACCCCATTGCCCACCCCAAATGTCTCCTATAGTTGCTTTTTTAGAACCACGATCCAAGCATTGCATTGTGTTTTTATCCCTGTCCCCTTATTTCTGTGTGACATTGTCCTGTTGGAGAGCCCAGACAGTTGTCATGAAAAGTGTCTCACTTTACAGATTTTCTCAGATTGTTTCCTACTGGTGTCATTCCGTGGCTCCTCTGTCCCCATATTTCCTATAACTGGAGTTATGTGGGAAGGTCTGATGAGATTTGAGTTCAAATGTTTTGGGCAGGGGCGCCTGGGTGGCTCAGTTATTAAGCGTCTGCCTTCAGCTCAGGTCATGATCCCAGGGTCCTGGGATCGAGCCCCGCATCGGGCTCCCTGCTCGGCGGGAAGCCTGCTTCTCCCTCTCCCACTCCCCCTGCTTGTGTTCCCTCTCTCGCTGTTTCTTTCTCTGTCAAGTAAATAAAATCTTTAATAAAAAAATAATAATAAAATAAACTAAAATGTTTTGGGCAAGGACACGGTAGGAGATCCCCGTGGATATTTCTGATGATTTCTTCTCATCACATGAAGCCACCTCCCACACCCAGGCAAGCTTCCAGCCATCGGTCCTGTGTCTCCTCTCCCTGTCCAGAGCTGCACGCCGTCCCCGTGCCTGGCCTGACATGTCTTCTCGTGGTCCCACACCTCCATCCTCTGTTTGTACTCTGCTTTATACAGAGGTCATCTCTCTCCTGCAGGCAGAGTCTACAGTCGCAAGCACAGTAGACATGGCCCTTGTGTGTGGGTGGGACCAGGGACTCGCTTCTGACCAGTAGAACACAGCAGAGGTGAAGAGATGCCTGGTCAGCCTCCAAGGACCTGCCTAAGAACCTTTGCATCTTTGGTACCCTAGGGCTCTGAGTCTCTGCTGATCCCTTATTTTTTTAAGATTTTATTTATTTATTTGAGAGAGTGAGTGAGCGAGAGATAGAGCTCGAGTGGGGAAGAGCAGAGGAAGTGGGAGAAGCAGACTCCCCGCCAAGCAGGGAGCCCGATGCGAGGCTCAATCCTGGGACTCCGGGATCATGACCTGAGCCGAGGGCAAATGCTTAACCAACTGACCCACCTAGATGTCCCATTGCTGATCTCTTATTGTCAGAACCACATGCTTCATTATCTCAAACTACACCAGGACCGTTCATATTATCCCCACCAACTGAACCATACGTTCTTTGCAGGCAGGAGCCACAGTTAAATGCTGTACGTCCCGCATTCTGAGGCACCATGTTACATACGTGGGAGGTCCTCATGGAACACTTGATTAACAAAGGTAGCGATTGTTACATTCAACAACCTGCAAGTGTATACCCACTACCACCCTGGCTTACCAAGCGTTGAAAGCTCTATCGATACTTGTCTATGTACAGAGCCAAATATGTTTATAATAAGGAGAGAAGTATAATAATATTTGGCTCTGCAAAGGAAAACACTGTCATTTGGAATTTCCTTTTATTTTTTTACTTCTTGGAAAAACAATACAAATGGAGTGAGTTCATGACAATGTTTTCCAGATGTTCTCTAGATAAGATAATAACAAATATAAACAAGAATCTTTTCTTATTTTTCCTGAGAAAATTCAAGTGAAAGTTCAGTCTTTAACCAATTGACCCTTGTCCAAACACATTTCCCTCGGATGCCAAGCACAGGAAGGACTTGAAAAAGCCATGAGTTGGTCAAGGCACTGTAGGGTCCCCAGTCTAAGATTGAGTCCTGAGCACAGTATTTCTTCCTTCACAAATCCCACCGAAATGAGAGGAAACTTACTTTTCAATGACAAATCCACGGACTTGATAAAAAAACAACATCAGAGAATTGAAATATTGTTCCTAATCTCAAACAAGAAGGTGGTAGCTGACACAGAGGCCAGTGTGACTTGGAATCACCATCCTTAGGGGCGCCTGGGTGGCTCAGTTGGTTAAGCGTCTGCCTCCGGCTCAGGTCGTGATCCCAGGGTCCTGGGATCGAGCCCCACGTCTGGCTCCCTGCTCTTTGGGGAGTCTGCTTCTCCCTCTGCACCTCCCCCTGCTTCTGCTCTCTCTCTCTCTCTCTCAAAATAAATAAAATCTTTTTTAAAAAAAGGAATCACCATCCTTAGATCCAAGTGCATACTGTAACAAGACAAGAATGGGCTGCTATGAAAAAGGAGCAATCAAAGCAAAAGTTGCTAGAATTTTTAAAAATTTTGTATATCTAAAATTATGTATATGAATGATTATTATAACTGAAAATTTCATTTGAAGTTTCAAATTGTTGATTTAACATAGGCAAAGGGAATTATTTGTGGTCTGTAAGGTAAAACCTAGGATTTCACAAATTAGAGAAAACTTAAGAAAACTATCTAAAAATATATAGAGGAGTCAAACATCTATTGGATTCTCTGAAGAATAAAATAAAGTCAATACACAGGTAGGAAACAATAAAAAATAATGTAAGAAAATTTCCTAGAGATGAATATAAACTCAAGTTTTGAGATATAAAGAACCCACCAAGTGCCAAGAAGAAATGTTTAAAAGATACTCATCCAGGTACAAGTAGGAGAAACTGCTAATACCAAGGATAAAGAGGAAACCCCAAAACTTTCAAAGCGGGAACACAGTTTGTTTCATAAACAATAAGAATTAGCCTGCGGGCTCTATCCGATGCTACATCTGACACTTGAGGAAAAGGGAACAATGCTTTCCTTCTCAGGGGAAATTATTTTGAACCTGGACTGCTGTACCCACCCAAAATATCAACACAGAATGAGGGAAAATAAAGGCAAAGTTGGTTTTTTTATTGCAAGTAACAAGAGCCCCAGAGAGAGGGTCAATGTCACATAGACTTGCTTCAGAGCCAGATGATGCATTGAGACCCCGTTCCTGTCTGTCTGTCTCTCCATTCCACTGTCATGAGCACTGGCTTCATTCTAAGACTTGCTCCCACGAGGTTGTCAAGTTTCCTCATTTATGAGTATCAGAAGAGAAAGAGGGGAAACTTGACTTCCAGCAACAGGATAGTAGTACTTCTCTTCAATCTCATTGGACTGATTCAGGCTGTTTGTGCCCTACACAGCATAACATGTGCTGATTGTCTTAGATTAATCCACCAACTGGGAATGGGGGTTACTTACCCTGAGTCATGTGCTCTAAGCAGAAGAGGGGTAAATACCTGAACAACACAGGTTTTCTTGGAGAGAAAGAAGGGAACGTGACTACTGGATTGCCAAATAACAATGTCCAGCACACACTCTCGTAGCCCTTCTGAAAAAATTACTTGAGGACATACTCCAAAACAATGGAAAAGCAGTCAGGAAAAGGATGACACACAAATCAAAGAAAAATGGGAGCCAAGATACATAATGACATTAGAAGCAAGTCTATGATAAAATGGCTATCAAGTGGACTTCAGTTGTTGAATAAGGATTCCCAAAAAAGTGGAAGCATACATTGTTGGTTTTTAAAATAAAAGCGAATCTGGAACTGCAACTGCCAATTATTTCAGTGAAATACAGGAGAAAGAGGTAAAAAGAGGGTTAAAGATAGTTCAAAGGCAAAGGCAACAAAAACACTAGTGAGTTTGTCTTGAAAGGTAAGAGTAAACATAAGTATATTTATTCTCAAAATTATAAGAAGTGTATCTTTGCCGAAGCGGTAGTGGTGAAATTATGAATATGGAAAAATAACAGATTCTTCCTCATTAGCTATCAGGGAAAAGCCGAGTGAAACAACGAGAAACCATTTCTTCCCCCATCATTTTGGTCAACATTTATTTTGATAATCTAGTTTTGGTAAAGGCAAAAGGAAATAGACTCTCGTAGAAGTATAAACATGTGAACTGTGTGGGAGATTATTTACCAAGATCTCTCAAACATTTAAACACACATACACATTTAAATAGCAATCCCGCTTCTGACAGAAATATTTGCATCTGTTCACACAGATAAATATTGACAATGGGCCATGCCATGTGAATTAAAATAGCAAACAGTGATAAGGGACCTATATACCCTCAGAGAAACAACCAAATAAAATGTTGAGTATCCATACCACAGAATCTTCTGTAACCCTCTGAAGCAGAGTTTGGTGAGTTTTTTTCTGTAAAGGGCCAGATAGTAAATATTTTAGGTTTAGGGTGCCATGCTTACAGTCTCTTTTGTAACTTCTCAACTCTGACATTAGAAAGTAGAAGTAGCCATAGGCAGTACTGAAATTAATGAACATGGCAGTGGTTCAGTAAAACTTTATGAAAAGAAGCAGCAGTCCAGGGGCACCTGGCCGGCTGTCTGAAGAGCATGCAACCCTTGATTTGGGGTGATGAGTTCCAGCCCCACGCTGGGTGTAGAGATGAAAGAAAGAAAGAAAGAAAGAAAGAAAGAAAGAAAGAAAGAAAGAAAAAGAAAGGAAAGAAAGAAAAAGAAAGAAAGAAAGAAAGAAAGAAAGAAAGAAAGAAAGAAAGAAAGAAAGAAAGAAAGAAAGAAAGAAAAAGAAAGAAGAAGGAAGGAAGGAAAGAAAGAAAAGAAAAAAAAGAAAGAAAGAAAGAAAAAGGAAGGAAGGAAGAAAGAAAAAAGAAAAAGAAAGAAAGGAGAAAGGCAGCAACCACAGGCTGGATTTGACTACAGACTGCTCTTTGTGTTAAGGATTTCATTTGATTTACATGTACTGATATGGAAATGGCTCCATGATGCATTAGTTTAAAAAAATAAAGTTGGAAAGCAATGTATCATACGATGCAGTTTTGGGAAAAATTATATGTGAAATTACATACATATGCAGTCAACTCTCATTACTCATGATAGTCCCGTTCTATAAAGCCAAGAAATAGATTTAGGTTCCTGCGAGAGTCTGGTCACAACTACTCAATATATAACCTTGTTTTACCTGTGTTTCCATTTAAAGGCACCTTATTTAAAATACATTGTTGATTCATGAATATTGCACTCACAGCCAGCAGGACCAACACTCACACCTGAAGGAAGCTTATCCGACGCACGTGTTTTCTCCACGGGACCATCACAGCCTTCCTGGGCTTAGGAGCACAAGACAACACGTCAGCAGCATGCTTGGGGGGATCTTCAGCAGAGAAATCACCAGCAAATGCCCAAGAATGAGAAAAACATGGCAGGAAGCAGACCATGTAGAGGACATTTGTGTGCAGTGTGAGCCGGAACAAGAAGGCAGAGCGTCACCTGTTTGACCTCAGCTGGGGACGTGCGAGTAGATGACACATTTTTTGCGGCTGCACTGATGTCCAAAAATGATGTGGTAAGTGTCACAAGTATGGATGTTGGGGTCACAGATAAATTTTAGTTCCTAGAAAGATTTGCAAATATGGACTCCACGAATAGTGAGGATCGTGTGTACGTACGTGTTTGCAAATGCAGAGGGAAAAGCTTTAGACAAAAACACTAGAAATAGGGGGTTCGTTTCTGGGAAGAAAAGGGGTTTGGGGGACACAGGGAGACTTTCAGGGTCTTTTGCCTGCACTTTTGCAGTGTTTCAGTTTCTCAGGGCCCATATTACTTTTGTGGTGTTCAAAACCTTTTAAAGATTTTTAAAAATAATTGACAATATAGATAGCTTGCTGGTCAACATATTTAAAAACGAGCTTAGAATTAATTTTAAAATTTCAGTGAGTACCCAAATGCCTGTCAGCTGATGGGTGGACAAACAGAATGTGGCATATCCATCAAAGGGAAAATGAGTCAACAGTGATAAGAAATGGGGTGCTGATATGTGTCCCAGTGTGGAGGACCTTGCAGACATTCTGCTAAGTGAAAGAAGCTGGTCGTAAATGACCACATATTGTAGGATTTCACTAATTTATTTGAAGTTCCAGAATAGACCAATCCCTCTAGGCAGAAAGTAGATTAGCAGTTGCCTAGGGCTGGGAGTTTTGGGGGCAAATGGGGCTGGGAGGGTTTCTTTTAGGGGAAACCAACATTTTAAAATTCCATTGTGAGGGGTGCCTGGATGGCTCAGTCGTTGGGCGTCTGCCTTCGGCTCAGGTCATGGTCCCAGGGTCCTGGGATTGAGCCCCGCATCGGGCTCCCTGCTCTGCAGGGAGCCTGCTTCTCCCTCTCCCACTCCCCCTGCTTGTGTTCCCTCTCTCGCTGTGTCTCTCTCTGTCAAATAAAATCTTTAAAAAAATAAAAATAAATTAAAAAAATAAAATTCCATTTTGAGGATGATATATTCACAATTCTGTGAACATACTAAAAGACACCGAGTAGTACACTTTATTTTTTTATTTTATTTTTTTCAAGATTTTATTTATTTATTTGAGAGAGAGAGAGAGGGTGCCTGGGTGGCTCAGTCAGTTAAGCGTCTGCCTTCAGCTCAGGTCATGATGCCAGGGTCCTGGACTCGAGTCCCACATTGGGCTCCCTGCTCGGCGGGAAGCCTGCTTCTCCTTCTCCCACTCCCCCTGCTTGTGTTCCTGCTCTTGCTATCTCTCTCTCTGTCAAATAAATAAATAAAATCTTTAACAAAAAAGAGAGAGAGAGAGCCAGAGCACAAGCAGGGGGTGGGGAGATAGAGGGAAAAGGAGAGGCAGGCTCCCAGCTCAGCGGGGAGCCCAATGCGGGGCTTGATCCCAAGACCCCGAGATCGTGACCCAAGCCGAAGGCAGACATTTAACTGACTGAGCCAACCAGGCCTCCCCGAGTCGTACACTTTAAATGAGTGAATTGTATAGCATATGAATTGTACCCTAAAAAAGCTATTTAAAAAAAATTTTTTTCAGTGAGTTATTTCCCTCCAACTCAAATTGAACTTCTTGCATATTTTCCTCAGAGGCCTCTGTGTTCTTTTTTCTGATTTTATTTTCCTTTTCCTTTTTATTGACATAATGAAGAGGGAGCATTTAAAAGATTCTGGAAAGTCACATGCTGGAAAGAAAGAGGTGTTGGTTTTGCATGACAGCAGGGTTAAAGGTAATCTTTATTTTCCACTCTGTGCCCCCTTTTTTGGATTATGCAGGTTTCCCAAAATGAGCATTTATGAAACACGTTGATATTTTTATTATAAAGGTGGGTGCCTTCTTTGCCCTACTTTTACATTCAAAGATCACTCAGAAGGTAGATTTCACTTTCCCATGGCCCTTGTTTTGGATCTAACTCCAATTTCCAGATAGAGGGCCTTACGTTTTTTTTGAAATTTGTTTCTTTTCTGATTTGTCAGTCTGCAATTAAAGGAACAGGTTTCTGTGTGCTTCCCATAGTAAGACCTTCATGGTCCCAGAGTGAGTCATCACATTGCTGAAGGGAGCAGACAAAAGGTTAATCTTTGAGGAAGTATCCTGACCCTGTGATTCAGTAGTTGTCTTCACTTGGGTTTTGAAAGTCTGGACTCAGTCAAGGCAACTAAGCTCCATTATTTACTAGAGAGGGTGGCGTCCCCTCTTGGTATTTGCAGGAGACTGATGACAATAGCCTCAGCGAATCACACGTCCTTGTGTCCAGTGGTGCCTTTGTCCCGTTGCCTCTCCCCATCTGGGTGTGGAGTCTGTTCCTCCACCCCAGGAATCTCCGTTGGCCGTGTGATCTGCTCTGATCAGTAGAGGGTTGCTTCCTCAGCAGTAACAGAATGCCAAATCCAGAGCCAAGAGGACTGTAGCTCTTGCTGTCACCCTGGTGGAACCAGGAGACCACGCAGTGTAGCCTGAGTTGGACAGAAGGGAACTAAGGTGCCCCAGCCTGTAGCTAGCATGTGAGAGTGAGGTCATCTGGGACCTACCTGCCCAGGTAAACTAGGAAAAACCAGGCGAAGAGCTACCCACCCAGCCACGGAAACATGAACAATGAACCACTGCTGCTTTAAGCCGTTAAACTGTTTTGGGATGCTGTGTTTTACACTAGATAATGGATTCAGTATTTGAGGAACTAAAAGGAGTGAATTTTGGCTCTGAAGCAAGGAAGGAAACTATAGCAGGTCAGGGCTCTGCTAGTTTGAGAGGTAGTGGAGGTATCCTTCCATACAAATTTTTATTTCCTTAGGGAATAAGCAAATAAGCCCTAAGTAACACATAAATTAGTACCAGAAGTGGGGTAAATGTAGACAGTGGGTTCAAGATGGCCACAAATTCTTTGATACTTCTCCAGAAGAGTATTCTTTGATAGTCTATCACCAAGAGTGTGGCAGATGTGAAGCTACATCAAATCCAGGCATAGCCTTTAAGACCAGTAGACGTTATCTTACCATCTTGAAGCCCTGAGCGGCCATGTATGTCAGACTCCCCCAAGGCCATTGAGCTACGAAAAACCCAAACTGAGTGAAGACGTCCCAGAGAGGGAGACACCATGTGAAAAGAAAGGGCAAGAAAGGCCCACAAGCACGGAGACATGCTGAGTAGAGAAGGCATCTGGAAGGAAATGCCAAGCTTCAGGCACCCTTGTTGACCCTGCATAGCTCAGAGACTGACTAACCAGTTGAGGTCTTCCAAAATTCCTGACCGACAACCATGAGCAAAATCAAATGGTTGTTTAAAAACCAATAGCTGTTTTTTTTAAATTATTGCTTAAGATCAAATGGTTGGAGGCACCTGGCTGGCTCAGCCAGTAGAGCATGTCACTCTTGATCTTGGGGTCATGAGTTCAAGCCCCACATTGGGTGGTAGAGTTTACTTTAAAAATCAATAAAATGTTTTAAAAAGTCAAATGGTTGTTATAAGCCACTAAGTTTTGGGGTGGCTTGTTATGTAACGATAAGTAAGTGGAGAAAGTAACAGACCCTCAAGAAAAGATGGCAGTGGATTTGGGGGTAAGACCACGATGTTCTATGGGAACAGAGTGGCCAGTGGCACCTATAGCAAAACCTGCACCCCTGGGATCAACTCCACGTGGTCATGATGTATAGTCTTTTTATATCTATAGGATTTGATCTGCTAAAATATGACTTAGAATATTTTACATCTAGTTCCTAGGAGATATGGGTCTATAGTTTTGTTTTCTTGTAATGCCTCCATATTGTTTCAGTATCATGGTGATGCTGGCCTCACAAATTGAGCTGAGAATATTTCCTCCTTTTCAATTTTATGTATAGACATAGATGACTATGTATAGAAGTGCTGTTATTTCTTCCTTAAATATTTTGTGGAATTCACCAACAAACTCATCTGGGTTTGGCATTTTCTTTGGGAGGAAGGTTTCAACTACAATTTCAAGCTCTTTAATAAATATAGGGTCATTCAATTTATTTCCTTCAGAATGAGCTTTGGTAGGTTTGTCTTTCAAGTAATCTGATGATCTCTGACTTTTAATCATGGTGTTTAGCCACACTTATTATGATTGTCCGGCATCTTGCGCTTTGTTTTCTACTTGTCCCATAGGCTTTTTATTCCCTTTTCTGTCTTTTTTCAGCTTCTTTAGGATTAAATGAATGTTTTTTATGATTCTACTTGATCTCTTTCATTGGCTAATGAGTTACAACTCTTTGTTTTGTTATGTTAGTGGTTGCTTTAGGGTTTATAGTATTCATCTTTAATTCATCACCATGTCCTTACAAGTGGCATTACACTTCATGTATAGTATGAGAACTTCGTAATACTACACTTCCATTTCCCTTCTTTCTTCTATTTATTCTTTATTCAGTTGTTGTCACATATTTTACTTCTACATATGTTTTAAACTCCACAAATTGTTCTGTCACATAGTCTTAGAGCCCGGTGGTCTGATCCAAAGTCCATTCTCTTAATCTACATGGTAACAACAAAACAAGAAAGCAGGGGCGCCTGGGTGGCACAGTCAGCTGAGTGTCTGACTTTTGGTTTTGGCTCAGGTCATGACCTCAGGAGGATGAGATCAAGACCTTTGTCAGGCTCTGTACTCAGCGTGGAGTCTGCTTGAGATTCTCTCTCTCTCTCTCTCTCTCTCTCCTTCTGCCTCTCCCTACATTCACACCTGCTCTCTAAATAAATAAAATCTTTAAAAACAACAAGAAGAAAACAAACAAAAATTCTCTGCTCAAATTGGCCTTTGACAAGCTTCAGGTTAAGCTGGGGCGCCTGGCTGACTCATTTGGTTAAGCGTCTGCCTTCAGCTCATGTCACGATCCCAGGGTCCTGGGATCGAGCCCCACATTGGGCTCCCTGCTCAGCGGGAGCCTGCTTCTCCCTCTCCCTCTGCTGCTCCCCCTGCTTGTGCTCTCTTGTTCTCTCTCTGTCAAGTAAATAAAATCTTAAAAAAAAAAAAAGGAAAGGTTATGCTGGAAAATGTGAAATGCCTGCCTAAAATGCAACACAATCAGGAAATTCAACTGCATGTTAGTATAGATTCTTCATGGTTTCAACAATGCATGTTCATTTAAGCCTCAAAAAGTTCTCAAAAAGCTGCTGGGATAAAATTGGTAAATTTACAGGGTGATGTTACTATAAACTATTTTTTTCATGTAGAAAGTAAAAACGCCTAATGTAACACACGGCTTTGTGCTCTATAATGAATCATAATTGCTTACACATATGGTGCTTACAGTTTGCTGGGCACCATTCTGAGTGTATTAATTTATTTAACCTTACCTCACTGTTAAGTAGTCCATTTACAACAGGGCAGTGGGAATTGCTATATGTGGCAATTCAGGAAATGTTTAACTCAAGAGTGCACTCAATTTTAAGGATGGTGTGCATCCTGGTATATAACTTTGCTACGTTAGTTAGATCAAGATTTACCAAAAAGGATTCAGTTTCCATCCCACGTGAACACTAAATTTCTTTCCCTCCTTAAAAAGAAAAACACTTTGTGTTTTATTATTTCAACAAGTTCTCAGTCTTACTGTTTCAACTAGTCCCAATAAATTTTAGTTGTTACTTTTCATATCATTTTTATGATGTGGCATCAGACCCTCAAACAAACACTGACAGGAGCAGGGCTGGAATTTGTGGCATATTCCATTGTTTGTATAATCTACACCCCCTAAGAGATGAATAAATCATACATTCTTGTGTAGCAGGGTAGAAGGAGTTCCCATGAGCTCCAGCAAAGGCACTGTGCGCACATCTGTGGAATGTCAGAGCCCTGATTCAGGAGGTGAAGACCAATTGAGGTACAAGTCCCTAGGCCGCGCGGACCCGAGGACGTTTCTCCCTCCCCTCATAGGCAGGATGCTGTAAGCTACACCAGGGCTCACAGACAATGTCTTAAGGAAGAGAAGGGATGAAGTCTGAACACAAAAACAAAACCAGGGACATTTGGGCCAACTCAGGTGGGGAGTCGAATATTGAGTAAAATACTTACTAAAAATAAGTAAAACATGTAGTATTATAAGTAGCGATACATGCTAAGGAGACAACATAGAGCAGCCGAGGGAGATGGGAATGGTTGGCTATGAGAACAGGGTTTCAGGGAAGGCGCAACAGAGAAGGGGATGTTTGAGGAGAACCTGGAGGAGGTGGAGAAGAGTGCCACACAGCCTCTCCATCAGACTATTCCAGGAGGCAGTGATACGGGGCCCAGGCTGTTGGGGACTAAGGAAGCCAGTGAGGAAGGAGAGACAGGGAGGTTCGTAGGAGCAGAGGGTCCCTGGAGAGCAGATCATGTGGAATCTGTGAACCCCTGGAGAGACGTTTGCTTTTTCTGGAGATGGGGACTGTTGCAGAGGAAGTTGGTGGGTGTCATCCTGGCTCTCATCTCATTGTGCTAATTCAGCTTTGAGTTAATGGAGGCCCGGACCATGGTAGAGGTCGTACAAATTGATTTGTTGGAAGCTGTATTCTGAAGATAGAGCCAACATGTCTTCTGATGGATTTGATGTAGGAGAAAATGAGGAGTCAGGGATGACCTAGAAGTCTCTGGCCCGAGTGATGCTTGCAGAGATGGGAAGGACTAGAAGGAGTGGGCCGGGGGGAAAGGGCAGCTGCTGTGTTTAGGGCAGCTTAAGTTGGATGTGCCCCTGATAAATTCGAGTGGAAATGTTGAGTGTGTCGTTGGGCCTATGACAGCGGTGTTTAGGGGAGGGACCCAGCTGAGATGCTCAGTCTACAGTGGGCATTTACAGACACAAGACTGCCTGCCATCCCCCAGGGAATGAGCTGTTCCGACATTTAGAAGTTAGGGAGAGGAGAGGAAACAGAAAAGGAGGTGAAAACAGAGTGGCCAGCATGGTCGGAAGGAAACCAGGGGATGTTTAGGAAGCCAACTGAGAAAGGGTTCCCAAAAGGTGAAGGTCAAAGGCTACTGATAAAGAAGATTAGGACTTAAAATTGACTGCTGAAATCAGAACCACGGAAACCACAGAAGACCCTGTCACAGGGAGCCTTTGTGGAGAGGTCGTGGTGAAATCCTGCTAGAGGTGATTTCCAGGTCAGAGGAAACGGTAGAGTGAGGACATCTGAAAATTCTCTGCTCCATAAAGACAATGAGAAAACTGGCAAAATTCTCAGAGTCAACTTTCTAAGAACGCTGGAAGCTAACCAAAGGCCTGTAGCAAACCCTAAACGTAGGAAGCACTTCTGCAAGACAAGCAGCCAAGCCTCAGTCAGAGCAGAAAGACATTGGAGTAGAACAGGAGCTTTGTGGAGCCTTCATTGGTCCCTATTCTCGTGTCCCACCCTCCGCCTTGCAAAGTCTCACCCCCTCGCAGCCTGACAGCCACCAGGGAGGGCACAGAGCAGGGGGAACTTCTCCAGGCGCCCCCGGCCCAGAGACGCGCGTCCGGGGCCCCCTGGGAGACCCACGTGCGGGGCTGTCTTTGTGTGGCTGACCCGGAGCTCCTCCGGCGAGAAGAGGTGTGTTGAGAAGGTGTCGCACGCAGTCACTGTCCCAATCCACAGGTGCACGGAGCTGCGGCAAACGACAGGCCGATGAGAAAGCTTGGGCGGCCGAGCTGGAGAAGGGGCCGGCCACAGGGGCTTGGCAAAGCTCCAAGCTTGCTTTGATTGTCCTGTGGCTTCCTTTTCTAGCTGAACACGTCTTCAGGCGTGTCTGTCAGTGCATTCGACTCTCCCTCACCGTCCTCACTGCAGTGCAGTGTCCTGAGAGAGACGCATAGATCGATATGCATGTCCCCCCAATATCGTTGTTAACATAGCACACGTGCTCTATGTTTACAAGTTCACGGGCTCCGTAGGGGTGCGTCCACTTAGACTTTCCCCCGTTGGTCGACATTGAGGAGATTTCTAATGTTTTTGCTGTGGGAACTAATAGCGTGTGTAGTAATGTCCGCTCTACGAAGGGGGCTCCCGTAGAGCACGCCTCCGTTCCCGTGTCCTCACGCGGTCCCCTCCCGCCCGGGGTCTGGGCTGACACTCTGGAGCCAACACAACCCGGGCGGGGGGCTCAGCCTGACCGAAGCCGGCCGCCTCCGCCTCTGTGGTCTTCAGAGCTGGCCGCCACGTGGGAAGCCCAAAGCCCTTCTGAAGAGCGAGGCCACGGGCCGCGGCCACGGCCACGGGGAAGCCCCTGGCCCACACCTTGCCCAGAGCTGGAGGCCACCGGGAGGAGCACGGACGGGCCGGACGTGAGCGGGAAGAAGGCACGTTGGGTGTTTTTACCTAGTGGGGCCTCCGAGTTCCGCGGCCTGGGGGAAACGACGCAGCTGAGCTCGGTCAGCCCCCGGGAGCCCGAGGGGTGGCGCGCATTGCGGTGTTACACGACTGCGCGCAGCCACGGGGAAGTAAGGCTCCGTGGTAATTGGTACGACCCCCTCCCCATCTCTCTGTACGCGGAGAACCGAGGGGCTACATTTCAGTAAACCCTGCTGAGTTAGCTCCTCCCCGGAATGACCGAGCACCACTTGGCCGCCCCACCCACAAGGACCGGGGGTCCCCTCGTCCTTTAGAGCGCTTGCCGGATCAAAAATGGGATTTCATTTCATCTTGCATTTCCCTGATTACGAGTCAAGTATTTGCTTCTCTGTGTTTACTGGCCTTTTGGGTTGACTTTCCTGTTAGCTGGCTGTAGGAAGAGAGACCAACAGGATGTTTTCTGGGTTTTGGGGTGCTTCCCTCCCGGTTTCCCTGCTGGGGCTGCTTTCTGCCGCAAGCCCCCAGCGTGTCCCCGTACTGCCTCGGTTTGCAGTTCCCCGCCGCCGACAGACAGCCGCGAGGTACTTACCGCCCCTGCCCGGCATGTCTACACCGGC